AAAAAATAAACAAAAAATATTTTGCCGCGCGCCGCCGCAAGCTGACAGTCAAATTGCCAGCAATGACAATGACGAGAAAAATGGCGAGACATCAACCGACGAGCAAGAGAGAACAAAAGCAAGTCGCCACGATGCCGTGTTGCGTGTAGGCGAAAGGGGCAAAGGAGTGGGCGGGAAGTTTTGGGTTGCACAAGTTCTACAATTAAATTCATTTGCAACTCTGGTAAGGCCGTTTGTTTCCTCAGCCTACTTTTATAATAATAATAATAGATTGGCGCTTACACATATGTTAGTGTTTGGCCGAGCTTCTCCTCCGATTTGTGGCGTGCGCCTTGATGTTGTCACACAAAGAGGAGGGACCTACAGTTTAACGCCGACTCCGAACGGCGATTGTATTTTTATGAGAAGCTGTTTTTCATGGCAGAAATACACTCGGGGGTTTGCCATTGCCTGCCGAGGGACGACCGCTGTTAAGAAAAAACCTTTTTTCTATTATTTTTACCTTTCATAAATTGTGTAACTTTAAATTCTTGTATACCTTAAATTNGTATACCTTAAATTAAAAAAAAAATGGTAAGTACCCAAAAAAATAGTTCTAGAAAATCGCGCAGAGCTTAAAATTCCTAAAGCCACCTCAAAACTTTCTGTAAAATCCAAATGCTTTCAATAGCAATTCATTTTGCTCACCATTACAATTTCGCTCGTCCGAAACATCGTTGGGGCAATCAATGTTGCCATTGCAGCGCACATCTTTGGGAAGGCAAGTGCCATCGTCGCACATCCAACGGTCGTAGAGGCAAGCTGGGCAACAATTCCAATACAAAAATCGACAAAAAATTTGATAAACATGCAGAAAATAGACAATATTAATACAAGCGAGAGGAAGAGGGAGCAACTGATTTTCTAAAACTCCGAACTCAAAAATTAAGTGAAACTGAAACAATGGAACCCAAAGCAATTCGTTGGCAACCTACGACAGCCTTCCTCATCGGCGCGATCGTTTGGGCAGTCTGTTGTTCCATCACAGCGATGCACGATCGATATGCAGGAAAGATCGTGGCAGGTGAATTTGCCTTTTGGGCAAAAGTAACGCAGCTGCGGTACAACTGAGCGCAAGCATAAATCCAAAGGTAGCATTAGTTTTCGGTAATAAATCCATAAAAAAAACAAAAAAACAAGAGCCGAAAACAAAACAAATACCGAGTAAGAAGAGAGCAGAATAAAGTGTTTGCGAGAGAAAAGATAAAAAGAGCAGAAGTTATACGTTTTAATGAATATTTCGTATGAATACTTTTCGTGTGTTAACGTAATGAAAAATGAGCGAAATGAGCTCGCGCTGAGGCTGAGCGTGTTTGGCGAGTGATCGCAGCGTAAAGATCGCTCA